GAGTAGAGGAAATGCAATACCCTGACACTTTAAATTGTTTATCTATAGAATATATGCTTGGCAAATACTATTTGTTAAGTTAACATTTGATATGGTACAAGAATTTTTTATTTTAGTAGGAAGATTTTATCTCGTGCAGATCACAAGTCTTCATTTAGCAAATTCGATATTTTTAAAATAATAAATATACCTTAAGAAATTTGTTGGTTATCTAAACAATTTTAAATTATCGCAGAATTATACCTCTTATCAAATATAGTAATATAACTTTAACTGAATAGCATTCAATTTTAAATTGCCCAACATAATGACTAAATTAATTTTCTTATATCGCAACGTATAATGTTCTTGTTTGCTGACCTTGATAATAATTCTTACATTTAGAAAACAAAGTAATATGATCTTATTAAGAGATACAAAATCTACTACAAAGCATCATAGGGTTTAGGGTTTCAAAAATAAATCCAACACATCAGACAAAAAATAATATAACAAATATTCAGTTCATAAGATAAAAAAATAATAATTTTGCAAAAAATGATAAATGGAAGGAATCAATAAAATCAAAACATTCAACTCCAGTTGAAAAAAATATGTAGAAGAATTAAAGAAAGAAAGAAAAGTGGATTGATGTCATTCCCTTCTCTGGCCGGCCAACCAGAAGGTTCCTTTGAATCGACTTTGGCTACTGTCGAACCCGATCAGAGGATCGGTGGTGAATGTCGAATCCAAAAGGCGACGCATAAATCCAAAAGGCGACACATAAATTATGAGTTTTCTAGGCCCAATCTTATTCTTGAGTTTTTTTATAGATGTCGTTTTCTTCTCTACCCAACCGCCCAGACATCGATTTGGCCCAATGTCGAACCCGATCGGAGAATCGATGGTGCTCCTCCAAGGACAAAATGACAATGCTGAAGAAGAAAATGAGGTATGTAAAACAAGAGAATGCAGCCATAGAAAGGAGACAGAGAGATTACCAAATTGCAAAACCTAGAAAACGTTTGAATTTATCGAGAGCGTGAATTTAGGCCTTAAAAGGGGGAGAAAAAATTTGAATTTATCGAGAGAGGGAATTGCGGGAGACAAGGGGCTTTAGTGAGTGGCTGAGGCAAGTAAAAAAAAAACTCGGAAGAAGGTGAAGAGAAATCGCATAAATTGAAAATAAATTCACATTGGGATGTTTATGTATCCGGCGAGCAAAACATTCGCAGTGTATAGATATTTCTTCACGAGCATATGAAATTTTATATAACAAAAAGGAATGCGCCATTTCGTGGAGGGATGCGTTGATACGAAGAAGAAATGAGGGATGCGTTGAAAGAAGAAAAGGTGGATATTGGTTCGTGAGCAGATAAAGCCCTGTTGTTACGAAGAAGGTAAGGAATATAGTTAAAAAAATGTACGATGGATATTAAGTTAAGGTTTTTTAACAAACACTTAGGATGATGTATCGGGAGAGTCACAAGCGACACTTTAATAGTAGCATAGATATTAATAATTTTCTTACTATCAATTCTCAAATTCATAAAACATTGCTGACCTAACTATAATTTTATAGAACTTCTCATGAAGTCTTTATTATATCCTCTTAACATATTATTACTCTTAATGCAGTTCCTCTTTTTAATCACTAGGACTTGAATCTAAAAGTTACATTCTCATTTATATCCTTATTTTTTCTTATAATAAATCAAGATATTTAAATGTATTGCACCTTATTATCATTTTATTTTCTAATAAGATTTACCGTTAGTTTTTAATATTTCACTAAAATTGTGTATCATATTCATAACAATTTTAATCTGATTATCTTCTAAACATTTGTAGTATTAATTTAACTTCATAGTTATTTAGCAATTGTCTTATCGCAAGAAGCATATATCAAGGCACCACACTCTTCATAAGGAATAAAATAAATGAACTCAATGATGTTCTTTGATATAATTCTACTATGATTAAGAATTCTTTGGTTAATTTATAATTATTACTCTCTTATTGCTCTTATATATATTTACTATATATATTATATATTAATAATACTAATATATATTAATATATAGTAGTATATATATATTACATTTACTTTAATGTGGCATGCGCTCACATGTAAAATTTCAAGATTTTTACTTAAGCATATCACAGATGTCCCTTGTCGTTATCCATATTTTATAGACTCTTAACTAATAAATCTCACACCACTTTGGCTGGCCATTGTATTAATTGTACATGTCCATCCATACGCATCAAACTTCATGACCCATAACTACTATATGGTGGAAAATTGGAGAACTTAAAGGTGGTAAATCAAGCTGCAATTCTTTCTGATAGATGGAAGGTTTTGGATAAATGGGATAAGTTAAGTGAGTCCCTCCTTGACCAGCACACATATATAGCAGGCAGAAGACTGTTGTACCAGGGGAGGTTTTTTTGCCATAAACCTTGGCTGATATTCTGCACATTCTGCAGGAGTTCCACAGGAGTGCTGTTGGGGGTCATTCAGGGATGCAAAATACGTAGAGGAGGTTGGCAACAGAGTTGTATTATAAGGAGATGCATAAGGATGTGGAGGAGATAGTGGCTAGATATGAGGTATGCTAGAGGAGCAAATATATTGTCATGGCTCCAAGGGGATTACTGCAATCCCTAGCTCTTCCAGACAAAGTATGGGAGGAGGTCGTCATGGATTTTATAGATGGGTTACTCAGATTTGAGGGGTTTATAGTGATTTTGGTTGTGGTGGACATATTGAACAAGTATGCTCATTTCATTTTCCTCTGATATCCTTATACGATAGTGACAGTGGAAGCGACATTCATCAAAGATGTGGTAAGACTGCATGGGATACTGGAGTCTTTAGTGTCTGATAGAGATAACGTGTTCCTCAGTCAATTTTGGAGGGAGTTGTTCAGGCTGTTGGGGTAGTGCTGAAGAGGAGCACTGCTTACCACCCCTAAAGGGACGGGCAAACGGAGGTGGTAAAAAGGAGCCTGGAGACATACCTACGATGTTTTGCTTCAGATATACCTCGGATGTGGGTCAAGTGTAGTACAACACTTCGTCACATTCGACTTCCTTGATGACTCATTTCAAAGTTTTGTATGGAAGGGACTCAACTTACTTGATGCACTTTGGGTAGAGTAGCACACCAGTCTTTTTAGTAGAATAATACTTAGAGGAGAGAGAGAGTGTGTTGGATGAATTGAAAATGCATTTTTAGATGGCTCAACTGATCATGGAGAAGTAGCAATTGGGCGTATGAAGGACATCTAATTTGAGATAGGGGATAGGATATACTTGAAGCTTCGTCTCTTCAAACGAAGGATGGTAGATAACTGGAGGAATGAGTAGATGGTCTCGAGGTATGTTGGCCCTTATGAGATATTGGAAAGGATTGGAGCAATGGCTTATCAATTGAGATTACCTCCAACCGCTACCATACTCCCAGTGTTCCAGGTGTCACGGTTGAGGAGAGCTATTCGTGGTCATGCATCCAGTCTAAAGTTACATATGATACTGGCAGAGGATTTGGAGGCAGTGTTAGAATCACTGGAGCTAAAAGGGGTACAATAAGGAGAGGGAGGGATGAAGGAAGTGCTGATAAAATGGAAGAATCTATTTGATTATGATGCCACGTGGGAGCCTTATGACAAGGTAAAGAAACAGTTTCTATCTTTCTACCTTGAGGACAAGATGGGTCTTTGGGAAGTGGGTATTGATAGACCAGTCCCTCTAGAACCGGCTCACGTATACGACAAACTGAAGATCTTCCTGCATTAATTCCGCTCTATTTTGGGTGGGGTCCAGTGGCTAATTGAAGGGGGAGTTAAGGTTTGGTTATGAAGGAAAATTCAGAGGAGTTGTTTATGGATTTGGCTAGGGGATTGTAATCTTTAAGTGGTTTTGACCTAGGGTTCAGTTTGTTTTTATGTTGTGTTTGCTGAATTTAGATTGCTCTTAGGTTGAGTTGGCTCTAGCAACAACTAGGGATTTAGGAGAGCCGGATCTTCCTCTTTAATTGAAGATCCATTGTATCTTCTTTGTTTTTTTCCAAATATCATAAAATAAAAGGGTTCTCTCTTGTTATTCATCATAGTTCTTCTTGTTGATTGCTTTTGGAACTGTTGAAATTAAAATTCAGCCAAGGTTTCATTTGTTTCTACAAGTACTTCCTATCAACTTCTTATGGGGGGTGAGAATAGTATTCAAAAGTCCATCTTCATAAGATTGAGAAGTTTATATTTCTGTGGTGTTTTTTTAGTTACTATCATTGTGCCTCATCATGCCAACGATTTGAATATTTCACAGGCATGCAGCAGACTTGCAAAATTAGCTCGGTTCAAGCTTGTATTTTCCTTACCAAAGTTTCAGAACCACCTATATCTTATTTGTTCTCATTGAATCAAATGAGCGCTTAGTTTAGCTAATAAATATTTTTCACTCATCAATAGCCTATTAGCCTAAAAAAACTCATATAACCAACACTAATTATAAAAGAAAATAATTTTAAGGATAGGATGAAATTATTTTTAACTTAATTTCCTAAAATAAGTTTGGATTATCTTGGATTATACTTTAAACAATAAAATTAAATAAGTAAATTTCGGTCAATAAAAAAATAAGCCTAAAACGCTTAAAAATCGGTCATTTTCAGTTTCTTGACCCTCCAGGTCAATTTCTTATGTCCAATAAAAATCGCTATTGTTTGAGCTAATTTAGTCAAATTGTATTACATTCCTTTGGTAAACTTTGCATTGCTATTCAAACTCCTTTTTACTGTGCTTTGGTTTCACTTTTTAGCCATGTTCTTTTTGGTCTTATTATTTGTTATTATAAAAAAAAATGAAGAATGAAGCAAATTTTTGGCAAATCGTCTTGTAGCTGCGCAACAGTTATTGCTAACAAACCAGTTTCGATTAAAATAGCTTTGCATTTTATAGTTTCTGCACTTTTGGGTAAGGCACCATCAGTTATTGAGTGCTTATTCGTATTAAATGCAGGGTTGTATCAATCTCCTCATCCCTTGCTTGGTCTACAGTATTACACTTGTGGGAAGCTCGAATGGTAAGAGATGGGTTGTACCAATCTCCTCATCCCTTGCTGTTTTTCAATTGTCAACTTCTTATTTTCATGTGTTTTTTTTTTAATGAAAATATTATGGGTTATGGTCTCTTTTTTTCTTTTCTTTTTTGCTTTTGATATTTGTCAAGTTATATGCTAAAAAAAGAAGGCAGAATGATATATCTTGATCAGGAAATTTGACCAAATATTTGAGTTGATTTTAATTATTTGTTTTGACCATTCAAGTTTAAATTTAGGCTTCGTTTGGGACGGCTTTTTTATTACTTCTTAAATCAACTTTCTAGTACAAAATTTTTAATTTTTGTACTAAAAAACAGCTTTAAGAAGCAATGAGAAAGTCGTCCCAAACGAAGCCTTAGTCTTCAATCCTTACCAGGAAATGACTGACCTAAGTTTTCTCTTCTATCAATAAGAAAAGTTAAAAGAAGGTTTTTCCTTCAGAAAATAAATCATTCTTAAGTGCCAGGACTAAATTGCTTAGTGACCTCAGTGGAGAGATCAACATATCAATGATTCTCTTGTTTTCATATGACCTAAACGCCTACCTCATTCGGTTTAGAATAAAATGAAATCCCCTTATGTTTTGTCTCCTACATTCATTCTTATCCTCAAAACCAGAACGAAAGCAATAACAATTTATACTTCTTCCTCTCTGTCTCTCTTCTTTCCTTAGCACTGAAAGAGATACTTTTAGGCTTTGTTAATTCCAATATCTGGTACGATTTTGTTTGTTGGAAGTCTAAAGTACTTTAGTTTTAATCAGCTGGGTTTTCCTGCACTTATTGTAGGCTACTGGAACAAACAGAGGATGCTCTGAAATCATTCACTAAGGCAGTGGAGATCCTTCGTATCACTCATGGCACCTCGACACCATTCATGAAGGAGCTGTTCAGCAAACTAGATGAAGCACGTGCTGAGCATTGTTACAAACTATCAGCCAAAGACGACTGAAAGATTGAAGTCTTATTAAGGTTTTGTTTAGGATGGCTTTCTTACTGCTTCTTAAAACAACTTTTTAATATAAAAATGTTATTTTTTTACTAGAAAATTGCTTTGAGAAGCAGTATTAAAGCCGTTCCAAACGAAGCCTAAGTTCATAAGCACCGCAAAACTGCCATGGCTGTTTGAAGGCTTTTCGTTTGAAGGAATTGATTAGAGAAATGAAAAAGTATAGAACTTTGCGAGCATGAATTGAATTAGTTTTCATAATAATCTAAAGTAACATACTACAATTAAAAACATTTGTTCATGAAAAATATCTTATGGGGCCTTCTATCCACCAGCCTTTGTGCATCGATGTTGATGTAGACTTGCAACTTGCATTACATTGTAGATAGATGTTTGCAAGATTAGAGTCTGTTCGGGATAATTTTCTTTCTACTTTGATTTTTAAATCTCAATCATAATTATGTTTAGTTATTGTTTTTTCATTGCATTCAAGATATTTTTGTGCTACAACTTTTAAAAAATTATTTTCCTCACAATTATTTATCAAACATGGTTGTTGGTTTTTATACTATGCATTGCTTGACTGTAGATATATATTTATTGTATCATTTGGAATAGCTTTTTATAACTTTCTAAAGTAGCTTTTAGTATAAAAAAATTTTTGAATTGAAATTTTTGTACTAAAAATTTGAAATTTTTGTACTAAAAATTTGTTTTAGAAAGTAATAAAAAAATGTCTTAAATAAAGCCTTAATATGCATATAGACTATCTGCCAATTAGTTAGTTAGAATCACTTGAAGATGACCAATTCCTTATACTTGACTAAGCCATTTTTTTCTTGGTCTCTACAACAAGTTTCATGGCTACGGATAATGGTTGAGAATAGATGAGGTTGAGAGAATTTGTTTAGGACTAGGGGTGTCAAAATGAGTTTTCAGATTAGACCCTCCTTCGATTCATCCAACTCAAATAGCTGCTATAAAAATATATCATGAAAATATTTTCCTGACAATATCCTATTGCAACTCAACTCGTACCACTAGATAATAGTTTCAAAGATTTATTTACTTCTATAAGTCAATTTGATTCATCATTAATGGAGGGATCAAAATCAAAGATTTCAAATAATCTTCATAAATATAATAGCTTAAAAGGAAATCTTTCATTTGCATTAATCATTGAAATGATATTTAATATGTGTCTATAGAATAGTGTTTATTGAGTCATATATTTTAAGAAAGGTGTTTTTTAAGAAAATGCCAATTAATAAGGAGCATTGAATGAGTATTGTTGCAGGCTATAATATATGCGGCGATAGAGTTAGAATTTTTCGTCTCAGCATTTTACGGACATCCAACACACAAACATAAGAGAAATAAAACATTAGAATTTTACATGGAAACCTTGGAAAGGGAAAAATCATGAGGCCCCGCTCAGTTGAAAGAATTCCACTAGTGTTTGCTTGAGTTACAAGAGGCTAACTCGTCCTTAAAATTTAAGATGATCAGATTGCAATAATCAACTCCCTGTGTTGAAATCCAATTACAAAAAAGAATTTGAGATTCGATGATGTTGGGTAGTTGGCTGGAATCCCAGAGTCACTTGGAGATCGGACAGAATTCCGGCGTCACTTGGAGATCGGGTGGAGTTCCAGTGTTACTTGGAAATCAGACAGAATTTTGGCGTCACTTGGAGATTAGGCAGAATTTCGGAGTCACTTGGAGATCGGGCGGCATTCCGGCATCACTTGGAGATCGGGCGGAGTTCCAGCGTCACTTGGAGATCGGGCGGAGTTCCGTCGTCACTTGAAAGCCGAGAGCAACTCCGTCGATAGTCGATGAGGAGCTTATTCATTCTCTTCCTTCCTTCTCTTTTTATCTTCTCTTCTTGTCTTCTCTTCTCTTCTTGTTTAGGTCCCCTCTTAAAAGAAATGATGGACTACTTACAGTTTTTTGAGAATGACATGGCCAGTAAATAGGAGGAAGATCGGGGGTAAATTGGGAGTGGTTTGAATGGACGGCCGATGTTGAATCCCTTAATCGTGGACCATTTATCAAGCATTTAAAGGCTCTAATGATATCATAATTTGACGATCTTGGACTCGTTGAATTCGTCTCGTCGAACCGCTCGAATCGACTATAAGCATGCCATATTTAGAAAATGTTTGGTAACCCAAATTATGTATTGAACCTTCCGAATGTGCTTCTTGCCTTTGATTTGAACCATTTTTTGCTCGGATTGAGTTGAATTTGGTGTCGTTGGGTTCGTATTTCCGATACACTCAGTTCGACTATAAGTTTGCTGAAATCGGAGTTCAGATGGTCCCAGATTTAATGTTTGAAGCTTCCAACCTGATTTTGCCTCAAGAAAGCATACTTTATCAAGATAATTTTTTGATGATATATCAAGTTTCATCTCTTATCTACTAATAGATAAGCTCCTTTTTCACAGAGCAAATCTATTATGAAGCGGCATTCTCCTGTAGGCTCAAAATTTTCATCTTGTCGGTGGTGAGCAACAATAGGTCGATTAAGGATTAAGACTGAATGACATATAGAAAAAAATGTTGTAAGCCTAACAAACTTTTCGTGAGTCTAAGTTATCTGAACGTGATAAATTTCTAAGCTATGCTGGTTTTGTAGTTTAAACTCATCAAGGTTATCTAATTCTTCAAGGCAGAGTAAGATATTTTGCTTGTTATTAAAGCTTATACTTATCACTATTTACGATATTGCTGTCAGAGAGAGAAAGAGAGGGGCAAACGAATGAGATTCATTTTGAATTTCTCAAATATATGCTGACGGGAATTTAAGTGTGATTTATACAACATTTAGTACTATATTTTTTTAAAATATTCGGATTTAATAATTTCGAGCCGGCTCGTGAGCTCTCAAGCCTAATCTAATGAAGATCGAACTTGAGCTAGTTTGCTAACTCGAGCTCGTTCAGCAAACGAGCTCGAGTTTGAGCTCGAGCTTGACTCATGAGCTTGATAAGCTCGGCTCGCGAGCCCATAAACAAGTCGAGCTTTAGCCGGCTCAGCTCACTTACACCCCTAGTCCTAACCCCTTTCTTGAACTAATTTTAAAAATTCACATATTAAGCATAAAAACCCAACAAGTAATTAAAACTCTATCATTGTATTCAATATAAGACAAAAGAATCACTATGTATGTTCCGGTTTAAATCAATAAAAAATTTACTATTTATCAATAAAATCAAAAGAGATCTATTAAACTATAAAAATAATCGATAAAGAGAATCATCATTATCTTTAGCTCGCTAAATTATATTGTATCAATATTAATGCCAGTAAGGTTTTAGTTTTATCTTTAGCTCTATATGTTAATCAGATCAATGCACTATCATTTAAATATTGCAATTATGAGAAAGCACGGTAAGACATCTAACTTTAATGTGATATTTTTATCATTCAATCTATTATATGTCATATCTATCCATTTGTCGATTTTATCTTATCTTTTATTTATTTATATTAATCATTTATTTTTAGAGGTGGCTTTTAATAATCATTTAAGAGTTATCCTTGTTGACGTATGTAAAAAATTTTAAAAAAATTATGAGAAGAGTGTATCTCTTCGTGAGCTCGACTCAACCCCACAACATAGAGTTATTTGCTTAAACGACGCATCACTCCAACAAATTGATCAATAAAAATAGAAGAAGAAAAAAAAACTGAACGGAGGTTCGTTTGGTCTTCCCGAACCCACATGCGTTAGCACGTCGAGCTGTCTTCCTTGTTCTCTCCCCTTACTAAACGCCTCTACCACTCCGATTCAGGAATTTTTATTAGGTTCGAGCACCTGACGTAGCTCTAAATTCGGATGCCAATAAAATGTCGTCACGTGCTCTTACTCTTTACCCCGCGGCCTAACGACCCGACCCGGACCGGAACCCAATATTGTTATGTATTATTTGATTTGTACAGACCAGGGTATTGCTAGGTTTTGCTCGGTATTGCTCAGTAACGAGAAATACCATTCTGTCAAGACCAATACCTAGCAATACCCCGGTTTTGCTAGGTATTGCTCGGTATTGTTAGGTATTGCTCGGTAATGGTCTTGACAGAGCGATATTTCTAGTTATTGCCAAGAAATACCTAGCAATACCTAGCAATACATGAACATAGCAATACCGGCTTTCCGTTCCGGGTCGGGTCGTCGGGCCGCTCGGTAAAGAGTAAGAGCACGTGGCGATATTTTATTGACGTCCGGATGTAGAACTATGTCAGGAGTCCGGACCTAATAAAAATTTCGGATTCAGATCCCGCACTTCAATTTCCCTGTTGTCGCGTGATCCCAGTCTCAATACTTTTATTTCGTTCGGTGTAAGGATATAATAATTGTTCCAGTCTGACGGTCGGATTTCTGGTAGAATTGGAAGCACTGCCCTTGAATTTGAAATGGGATGAGGCCAAATAATATTCGAGTGTCTGTACTACTATTTAGTTTCAGCACATTTATTATCCCTAGTGCTAGAAGCAGAGGCTCTTCTGTTACTATATCATCTCTGCACCAATCAAAGGAAAGCAATAATGGGTAAGATAGAGATTGGACATGGGGAATTGAAGCTTCTATTTAATTCTGATGAAAAGAAACTCTCTTATTATACTAACAGCAAGAGTGTTCTCAGCTCATCCTTAAAGCAATTATCTAAGTTCTATATGGGATCTGTTTGAGAATGTACTGATCCTCAGGCTTCTCGGGCTTATATTTTTTGCCCAGATGGTAATTGCCCCTTCAAATTCTATGAAGAGGTATCATTTATACACTCTAAATAAATGGCAGGGTGCCATTCAATATTCTCCATGGACCCATATTGGATGAGGTGTATCAACAGATTAATCCATGGATCTATCAGTAGCAATTTAAAATCTGAGTTAAAAGTGGAGAGCATTTTTAATTAATCAAATGAGCAATTATAAAAATTAAAATGCAATAAAAGGGAGGAGGGGGAGAGATGCACTAATCAACATGTACTGCTCTCCAAAATCTTGTACAAATTGCTCTCTAAACTCCACAAACTACAAATCTCACGGCAACTTTTAAATTCTCAACTCAACATCAAATCCCTCCAAATAACAACTCTCAAACATATTGTACAAGTTCTCTAAATGACAACTATCTAACTCCATGAACACAAACTCGCCAGTTTTCATGAACAAAACTTCAACTCTCCTGTATGAGCTCCTGCAAGCAAATAAATTAAATTCATTAAGCATCACAGATAAATGTATATATGATTAAATGCTAATACATAAAAAGAACAAATGCTACACTAAGCTACAGACAAAAAAAAAAAACAAGTAAAATAACGCTGAAAGGAAAAAAGAGCTGAGCAAAATGCTGAACTACTAAAACAAGAAAAGAGTAACTATAACAAGAAATAACTGGTATCAAATTCAAACCAAATCAATTAAAATATTTGGGCAGCCTTGTTTATAAG